ACCTCGCGTTCTTCCCACGTTCAAATTCAAACGCGATGCTAATCTCGGCAATGTATCATCCACTTGCAATGAACGATGAGGACTAGGAGGGCATTCCAGGCTCCGTGAACATGCATACTGACATGATCTTCTAGAGCATATGCATGCAAAGATTGGGCGGCGGCAAGGCGAGCTGATATCTAGAATACCTCAGACCTCTCATCCATGTTAAGTTAAATGTTACGTATGTCACGGTATGTCTACAAAAGTTCCGCGGAAGCAATTAATTTACTCCAACAATAATCCTACACAACTTCTAAGTACAATATACGACGCATGCCAATTGTGATATCCCGGCGTGTTTCTCCAGCCTCATGATCGTCCGCTTAGTAGTTAGCATCTTGCTCGATGAGGTCATGGGCTGTCGCAGAGCGAGGCTTGATAGAGCACTTGAAGGGTTTGGGGTGGCTGGGAGTGTGTCTATTACCAGCGCCGGACGTGACAAGATATGCGACATACCTGATCGTACCCGGCAAGGGATCAACTTCAGGGGTGATCTCAACACCATTCTCCACGGCCTTAGAAATATCAAACACGGCCAGTGACATTACGGTAGACATCCAGATGGAGGCATCAGCAAGGTGAATACCTAACGTCAAAAGCAACCAATTGTCAGAATACTGTTCGTTAATTGATGTGCGTTGGGCACACCTGGGCAAATACTGCGGAGAAGAAAGTTAGCATTCCGATCAGATTCAGAACCAACTTTTTACTTACCGTCTACCAAACCCGAAGCACATTGTGCGAGGATCCATCTCAGGTTCCTTTCCATCCTTAACCAAGAAGCGTTCAGGGTTGAATTGTGAGGGGTTAGCATATGTCCGTGGATCGTTGAGCATGAACCTGTCGCAGTTAAGAGCATTACATTCTGTCCATCAATCAAAGGAGACTAACCAAGTGTTAGGCATTACTAAGGATCCTTTTGGGATATAGTACCCGTCATGGATATCGTCCTCAGTCACGCGGCGGAGGAAACCTGTCATTGAGATACCCGTCGTCAAATAGATAATATCATGAACAGGATCCACATACTGGTAGGGAAGATAACGTTCCAGCGGAGGACTTCTGTAACAAGCGCCTCGGTATAGGGGAGGGAGTCGCGGTCGGCGAAGGAGGGAAGACGATCAGGACCGACAACCGCATCTATTTCAGCCTGAGCTTTCTTCTGCACTTCAGGGAAAAGCGTCATAGCTAGAAAAAGTGAGTATATTGCAGAAACAATCTGAAAGAATACGCGCAGTAATTTCAGAAGATGATGATTGAAAATATAAATATGTAAGGACCAACCGTGTCGGCACTACCGGCGTATAGGACAAAAGCAGACCATTTCACGTCGTGATCCTCATCCGCAGACACATCTCTGCTTTCCAAGAGCTTCGAGGTAAAAGACATAGGAGCGATGCCAACAGCCTGTGAAATATAAACATCAACGCATGATCGCAAAGCTGCAGAATCAGTCACCATCTGATCCTTGACAAACTTGTGGGGAGCAGAAACCATCTCTTCGAGGGTCTCACGCCATTCGCGTGCTGTGCGCTTGAACCCAGCACCGGGGAACCACGCGGGGACCTTTGCCACTAAAATTGTAAGGTCATCGGAAGCAAACGCAAACGTCGCGATAATATAGCTTACAGAATGGTAGAACGTCAACCATGAAGGCACCGGGAGCTGTTGCCTGCGATACATTAGCTAAGACGCGGTTTGCAAGGTCAACGAATGGATCATCGTTCTCTTTCACTTCATAGCCATGAGAGATGCGCAGAATGACAGCGCCAGCAGTGCTACAGTAAAAATTCAAGATCACATCATCGCAAGGATAAATAATACATACTGTCGGATATGCTCCTGCAGTTCGTCGGGTTTCGCAAGCACACGCTTCAGGAATCGATGAGTCTCGACCTCCTCAATCTCGTTGTATGCATCAACTGCGGCGCGGCTGCCAATGACGCGATGAAGGTTCTTGCGATGCCGGCGAAAACGGTCACCATAAGGGAGGAAAGGCAATGAGTCCTTCCAGCCAACAAGTTCGCCACCCATAGGAAGAATAGGACGGTCAGAGTACAGAGTGCCTTTATTGTCCAGCATTTCCATTGTGGTCTTGACAGAGTTCAGCACCATGATGTGCCGACCCAGAACCTCGATATGCGTGATATCACCTGCCGAAAAGACTTTGGAAAATGCATGATTTCGGAAAAACGGGAGGCACTCACCATACTTCTTGCCCCACTCGGTAAATGTGAGCCAGGGCTTGATGCGGGGCATATCTAAAACATTGTCAATGAGAGGCCACCCCCGGGGACCGGGTGGATATGGTGCGGGATTCTTCTTGGTGACCACCTGCTTTACCAGATAGGCTCCAACACCAGCAAGGCACAGATACAGCCAAGTAACGTCGGTGAGTGTCAACATGGTCTACTAGCGGAGGATGAGCAACTGGGGAGCGATCAGATAAGAGGAGTCCCCTCTTGGGCATCTCGTATTTAAACCAAAATGAGGCGATCCCAATGTCAACCTACAGGCAAAAAGCGGAAGAGAACCAGTACGTGGTCAGAGGTGCCTTGTTCGTTTCAGATAATTTAAGATTGCACGTACTGGTGACCTGTCAGCGCATCGATTTCATGTGTTCCTGGGGGCGCAAAGGAAACGATCTGATCTACCTATCTAGAGATTAGTAGACTCTGATAAAGCGATGTCTACCTAGCTGGTTAAAAGACGGTGTGAAAGCAAGCAGCAAAGCAGGACATCACATGGGCTAATACATTTCAAAAACGGCACAATCCCAGATACGGCAAGACCTTTGCGCGTTATTGGATACGAGTGGTTATTCGTGGTCTGTTTATGATCATGAGGGGGTGACCTGCCGACGGCCGTTGATACATCTCAACGTGTACCAACTGGTTTTGGTTAATGGATCCAGCGGCATAGATTTGAGGTGGCTACCGAGTCCTGCCACGATGCTAGGAGAACCTCCGCTCAATGAAAACTATTGAAATATGCCGTCAACAAAGGCAAGAGGCGACATCGAACGCGTGATAGGCCAGCGTCACCCGCCACTCACCTCATGCTGTGTGCCCGCTCGAACTTTTCTCGGCGGGCGTGAACTTGAGCTCCTGGCTATAGGTATAGGACTCTGGCTCCGAGAGCACATGTTTGACTTTGCGTGGGGATGTAGTTTCTTTACGGGCATAGCGGCGACCAGGGTGATCGATTGTACTGCGCAGAATTGGAATTGGAGCGAGAATCGGTGAGCCCGATGACACACTTAGTGGTCGCAAACTTAGTGGTCGCAAACTTAGTGGTCACAACAGCCTTTGAGCCTGTCCGCGCCACCGCAGTCGAGGACCAAGCTGTCCCTTTCCACGCACGCAACATGTTGATTTACCGGATGTGCGCACGGTGGAGTGCCTTGTCCTGCGCTTGCTACGCGCCCCTTTTCTTTTTCCTGGGCGAGGGACACGAAGAGCGAGCGTGTGCGTGATTTTTGTGATATGCGGTCCTATTGTGGTAGTTGATGATGAATTGTGGGGACGAGAATTGGGGTATGATGTCTCTGTAGAAGGTCCGGGAAAGGGGGGAGAGACAGAGGAAAGAGTTTGGAGCGGAGGAGGCTTTGCTTCGGAAGCTTTGATGTGAGCCTCTGAGAACGATCAGCCTTGTTACGGATGCACGTGAGTTCAATAGGTTTAGCTCGCAAAACTTCCGCATTCAGTCGCGCTCATTCTTGTGGCTAGTCCCGTGTAAGACGAAATGTATGGATGAGCGGTACCAGGTGCCAAATTGAGAATTTGTCCCTGAAAGACTCGGGACCCTCGGTCGAGGACAATGATCTTTCTCTTTCTTCCCCTTCCGCGAGCGGCTGTATTTGATGTTAGATGAAATAAAGGCCCTGTGGCAATTCGATAGAGCTTCGGGAGATATAAAAAAGGCAAGATAACGAACACTTACTCACGCCGCTCCATGTGCTCAAGCTAACCAGATTTCCATTTGTCTTCTAGCATAAGCGTCCTCTTGCTTGAAACTGCGCCGCTACTATCAGTCTTCTCATACCATACGACATCAAGAAGGACCTGGAGGAGCTCATTATTATATTTGTTCGCAAAAGGAAAGGAGGAGGGACTCCACCAGTAGCTATAGAATTGATGTATCAGTCCTTGTAGCACAGCAAAATAAGATACAACAATGCTCTCGTTCATAGTGTGATAAAGCTTAGGCATCTGATGTATCAGAGCACTGCCACATACACTGACATTTCCGGCCTTGTATTCTCAGGCTTCCCAAAGCTACAGTACGCGCATACCTTCTGGGGATGGTGTGCGGGTCCGTTTTTTCTGCATGTCACTTAGTTTCCTATCTATTTGGTGAGTTTTGAAGTTGATGACTCACGGAAAAGGACGAGTCCAGTTTCTGACATCCTTTTGATGCCCCTTTCCAATAGTTCTTCTTCCGCCAGTTACTTGTATGGGGGTCCTTCTGATAAATAACACTTCAGTTGGGACCCTGTCATTTTTTGGCCTGTGGCAGGTTGTGTTGCTTTAGACATAGTGACAAAAAGACAGCATAAAGTTCTTGCAAGGACACAATGTTTTCTGGTGATTCATCTTGTTCTTCTGCATCAGATTCTGTAGCTGACCAGACTTCTTCGCCTGAATCATACATTGATTCACCAGAATCAGAGACAACCTTCACAGGTACAAACATTGACTTGCCAGCCCATCGCTTCGCTCTGGCTTGTGCGGCAGCTTTGTTGGGGTGTGGCATAACTGTCTGTGTATGGGGCAAATGGACTAACAGGCAAACAAAAAAAATTAAATCAGTCCACATTTTGAAACATGGGCACTTAATTCGAAAATGTTAGACTACGTGTCTTTTTAACCTAGTAAGTATTTGGGAAATATCCGATGGGGCTCTGAAGTTCAAAAAAATGTGGTGCAGAGGAGTCGAAAAAGTGTTGCATGTACTGTAGTACAATGGCAAGTGGTTAAGGCGAGAGATTTGGATCACAGATATCTCTTACGGTTTCCGTGCACAGGTTCAAATCTTGCTGGTGTCGCTTTTTGTTCCAAACTGCGCTGTTCTGTCAACCATTGATTCTTCCTTCTACTAGTAGTCAGCTGAAGTTTCAGAATCACAAATACTTGCCATGTCAGATGTCCCCCACCATATTTTGTTTTTCCCAAAACCCATCCTCTCTGATTACATTGTTTTTGCCATTGTGCTGGTCAGTGGTGAGTGCATGTATTGGGCTATATATTCACTAGCTGACAATACATTTGAAAGTTTCGACGCCACAGGCTATCTATATAACTACAACTTCATGATACATTGCCCCTATTCACCCTTTGCATACGGAATGAATGGGTACATGACGGGGGGCAGTGAAACCCAGTGATGATGAAAAATGAAAGTGAAATGAGATCCAGGCCATTGCAGTGTGGTATGAGGCCGTCAGGAATAGGGCCAACAAGCGGATGTTCTTGTAACACATAGGACCACACCTCGCGAATTTGGGATGCGAAGAAAGGAGCATCGGTAGGAGGGCCATGCGAGGGATACCAAAATATGGTGCTGTTGGTCACCATGTCACCTGATGACAGGCGAATGGAGAGTGGTGGAAATAATCAAAACATCATCGTCTGGGACGTTGAGAGTTGGCAGATGGCATCTGAACCACTGAAGAACTCGGCATGCTTCTCCCTGGACAGTAACAAACTCGCCAGCAGGTCGTGTGCTGTTGTTCTATATGATCCGAAGACTGGCACCGCCCTTGCACCATATCATGATAATGATTGCATGTTGAGTATTGCATTCAGCTCCAATGGGTTGAAATTAGCCTCATTGTCATATTCCGCGTTCTGGACCCTCTACCTCCGATCCCATCTCCGTCACTCATCTCCATTTCATCTCCGTTCTCCTTCTCCTTTTGTATATCTCCATATAGATTCTCTCCTGACTCCGGTTTCCGGTTATGCATTCCATCTGTAGTACTAGTTGATCTGTTCCTCTGTTCATTTCTGACTTCATTTAGGATGATCCGTTCCAACTTACTAATAAGCTTTCCATATGCTTCATACATAGCCTCGGACTTCGCTGACTGATCTTCCGTTATGATACCTACAGTATATAAACTCCTGTAACACTCTGTATTTCCTCAGTTCAAATATCATCTTAGATTCTACTCATCTCTGTCTCTCTGGACTAAGTCCCTACACTTGTCCATCTCCGAGTCTTAGGATTGATTCCTATAGACTATAACTCCGGCTCTACCTTAGGGTAGTCTATCCTCATTTGTTTCTACTCCAGACTTTGTCTGTAGTAGCCTTATTCCTTGTTCCCAACAACAGTCATCGGAAGTCCACCGGACTTGCATCAGACCTCCGTCCTAGAAATAAAGGGCATGTACTCGGGTAAGGGGCACAGCGCACGAGCTGAAGCCAAGCCCTCCGGACATCTCCTCCTTTGAGTACGGTCTTAACACTCATGATCAAAACAAAATACCATCAGGGTTTGGTCTATTGATGATGCTGAACTTCGCTTCGAGATCAAGGCTCATTGCGATTGGATTACAAATGTTGTTTGGTTGCTTGATGGCCACCAACTTGTCTCCACATCATATGACCAAACAGTCGAGTTCTGGAACCCATCTACAGGAGACCAGATTGGCCGTGAAGTTTATATTGGTCCCACTCACTACATGGACTCACTTGCCATTGCTTCTGATCGCTCCTTTGTTGCCATTGCTGAGGTCGACGGGACTGTGATGCTGTGGAGGACACCTCATAATTACATCAAAAAAATAAACCTCTAAGCAACAATCTATAAAGAAAGGGCCATGGGGAGACTTGCTCGCGTGGTCGACACATGGAGCCCACATGCTTTTCACTAAAGCCACATGTTTTGTGCTTAGCTCGGCTAAACCTCTTTTTGGCAACTCACGTGGTTTTGTCACGTGTTTTTGAGCAGCGATTCAACGTCCATGATGGATGATTCATGTGCATGACCAGTGTTTCAATTTCAACACCGCCTGCCAGCATCTGGATGGCCAAACATCTTGTGCCTTCCCAAATGGATCCTCCTACTACTTCTGGCCATGCCCCTGGGCCAGATACTGGCACCAGCGCATTTTTTGTGGTGTCACATGACACACACCAGCCTGTCGCCAGGTGAGTTTTTGCTTCCACATGTCTGTCTGACTGGGCACTTATCGCTGCCACAAGTCAGCAGGTCATTTTTGATCGCTCTCATGCTGTTGACTGGAACACACACCTTCTGCAGGGTTATCAGACAACTCATGCTGCATGTCTACAGCAATGCACTGGCCTCTTGCCCCATGGCCATGCTCTGGCAGTAATCTCCCCTTCTGTGCCCTCCACTCCCTCCCATTCTGTATATCCTGCTGTTGACTGGACCACAGATCTTCAGCGCCACACTTCTGAGAGTTTCTCTGCCCATCTCCAACATCATTGTCAATTGCATGACCCATATATCAAGAGAGCAGCTGTCCGAGAGCACTTCCATGAATTGAGTCAGCATTCTGAAGACTTGAAGCAGCAAGATGCACTGCTGAGGAAGGATCTGCAGTACATTGTGGAGGAGTGTCAACATGATGGGAGGCTGGCTGATAAGAGGTTGGACAAGGTAGATGCTTTTATTGATAGCCACTTGCAGGAGAAGAAGGCACTTCATGAGCGTCTCAAGGTTGTGCATGCTTGGAGGAAACATATTAGAGGGCTGAGGAGGAGTTATGCAGGCAGAGAACAGTATGATGAGTATTCACAGCAACTCAAGGATGGCCCACCACCTGGCTGGGAGCCCTGAGTTGATATTTCCATCTAGAGTGTTAAATACTACATGTAAATAGACTATATTTGGCAGTAAGGGAGACAGGAGAATGGGAAAACTGAAGAACAGGAAAATGGGAAAATGGGAAAATTGGAGAATGGGAAAACTGAAAAAACTGGAAAATGGGACAACAGAAGAATGGGAAAACTGAAGAACGGGACAACTGGAGAACGGGACAACAGAAGAATGGGAAAACTGGAGAACAGGAAAACTGGAGAATGGGAAAACAGAAGAACAGGATGAATGACAACAGAAGATTGGGAAAACTGAAGAATGGGAAAACAGGAGAACAGGAAAACAGGAGAATGGGAAAACTGAAGAATGGGAAAACTGAAGAATGGGAAATTTTCAGGATGTGCTAGGATTATTAAAAATAAGAAGTTCAAAGCACTCTGCTTCCTTCCTGTGCCAAAGGCACAGCAGAAGGTGCTGCAGGCACCTACTGAAGCCAAAGGAGTGTGAAGCATGACTTTGGCTTGTGCCGAAGGCACAATGGGCGAGAGCTCGTTTGAAGGAAATGAGTAGTGGGCACCAGTCTTGACCCTTGTTCGGTTCAGACAATGAAATATTGTACTCGTTTGTTGATATTCAACATCATCATCAAACGTCATCATCGCTCGTCATAGTTAGCTTTCTATTTTTACTTTCGGACTCTATACGTATGCCTTATAAGCCTTGCGCTTCGCCCCCCTTATACCTCAGCCGTTCTTATCATAACGCTGAGGTATGTATTTTGTTTCCTGCATGCCGTCTCTAGCTCATGTATTTTGTACCTCTAGACCTCGGTTCTAGGTACTTGCAATGTTAGCTGTTCTTATCATAATGCTGAGACCTCGGTTCTAGATCTTCTAAAAGGTTATGAGCCCTGGCTCAATTTGAGCCATCAGACGAAACTACTAAATCAAACTTCCCTCACACGTTGAACGCCGCTCATATATTTACTTCTTGTCATTTGTCCTTCCACATGACGGCATCGTCATGGGAAAATATGACCATATTCCTGAACTGTTGGGCTCCGAGAACTATGTAGGCTGGTCGACCAAGATGCAGTATGCTTTGGTGTGCGAGGATCTGTGGTGCCATGTCAACACGAAAATTGAACCAACAGACCTCCTCGGGACGCCATCCTACTTGCCCGTTCCTGCCAATCCTGCTCAGATCACGTCTACCGAACATACTGCCATGCGTGAATGGTTATTGACTGATATGAAAGCAAAGGATCTCATAGCTCGTCATCTCAGTCCATGTGTGGGCTCACTCATGTCTCGTGCCCATAACGTCTCAGCATGGAAGGTGTGGCAAATGCTCGCGGAGCATTTCAACTGAACTGATACAAGTGCCCAGTATCAGCTATGTCAGAGGCTCGATGCCCTTCACATGAAGGATTCAGCGGATGCTACCAATTTTGTCGGTCAACATGCAGTCTTGCGTGAACGACTTCATGACTCAGGCGCGCCTCTGCAGGATAGCGACACCATCTACAGTCTTCTTATCGGCTTGCCTCAGATGCCTATCTGGCAACAATTCAAGTCCATGCTTGAGCAATGTATGCACGATGAAATCATGTCCGCACCATCATCAACTCCTTCGTCCTTCACTGTTGAAAGTTGTGTTTCCCGCATCACCGCTGAGGCAGCGCGCCATGTTCATATGCAAGCCATCCATGCTGCACGTCCAGGGTCTGAGTATGCAAATGCTGTCACTTCCTCCAACTCGTCGACTGGTGTGAACTCCATTACCGGCTTGTGTAAACACAAACACAACCCCAAAGGCGTCTTCTGCACAACAGCTGGATGTAACAAGGGTGATCATGACCATGCTCACTGCTATCAGAAGGGTGGCGGTATGGTGGGACAGGCTCCATGGATGCGAAACAAGAAGAAGGAGGACGCACCTCCAGTTGCAGCTGCTGCGGCTACTGTTACCAAGGCACCAGTGGCATCTACACCAGTTATCGCCGCAGCTGCGACAGATCTTAGTAGTCTGATGCAGGATCTATCATTTGCGTCTATCGCCGAAGTACCTGATGACATCGCATGCGCAGTCAACTTACCTTTCACGACTATTCTAGACTCAGGCACTACTGTCACCCTTGTCACAGATAAGCGCTTCTTCCACATGTATTCCACCGAGGACCCGGTGGACATTCTCACTGCGAATCACAGTGTCCTGCAGACCACAGGTCGCGGAACCTGCGTTGCCTGGCTGGCA